ACCATTTCCTATTAGACTATGATTCTTTTCAGTTTACCACGATAATTGGTAATACATAAAACTTATTTTTTTAGTTCCATGTGGGAATCAATGAGCGGCTTTTAAGCTAGAATATATATATATATATATATATATTGATTAAAGACATTTTTATGTTTATCGTTCTTTTTATAGATACAAGTATTTAAGTAAATGCTCTGTTTATAATAAACAGTATTAAGTAACATTTACCGGCCTGAATGTCCGAGAGATTTTCATAGAAAATATTCGTCTTTCTCGGACATTCAGGCCGGTAAATGTTATTTAATACTGTTTATTATAAACAGAGCATTTACTTAAATACTTGTATCTATAAAAAAGAACGTTAAACATAAAAATGTCTTTAATAAATAAATTGTCGGACTTTGTCTATTTCTTAATATATATATATAAAAGAAAGAGGTTGTAGTGGTTCCAACGAGAGAAAAGTATGTATATTAAAAAGAAGAGAAGAGAGGTGCGGCAAACGTTTTTGGTTGTAATGTGTTTTTTTAGAAAAAAAAAATATGCTTTTTTTTCCATAATTTTACTACACGTGTTTCTGGTCTCGTGACGTACGTACTGATTCCTTGTGGTGGGACGATGTGTATGTGCTTATGTGTATGTATGTGTGTATGTGTACAAATGAGTTTACTAATTCCTCATAGTAAGACAGTATATGTATGGAGGGGGAATATACGCACGCATATATACACGCATGCTGACAGAAACACACCAAAATGGAAACAGATCTAAGAACACACAGGGGTCATTATAAAACATTAAACGATAAAATGCCGATAAGTAATTCATCATTTCTCTTGGACCAACCTTAATTGTTTTATGACCCTTCGCGCAGAACTCTTCATTGCCAATTCAAGAAAGACATTCGGATTACTAACACAAACACAGAGAATGTCTCATATCGAGAATATTTAACATTGAAAAACATAAGGAAAAAATTAATTATTTTTTTTATTATATGTGGAAATCTCCGCTTTTACCTGAAGACGGTCACGAGACCAGAAACACGTGTAGTAAAATTATGGAAAATAAAGCATAATATTTTTTTTTTCTAAAAAAAAACAACAATTTTCACCAAAGAGAAGGTTGCGGAGAGAAAGATATATATAGGAATATCGGCGGGAAAATCGACTATTTCATAGAAAATACCCAAAACTCCAACAAACTTCAAATTAAATTCGTCGTAGATTTTTTAGACACTTAGATTTATATCAAACTCTAACTCCCAAAGATACCCTTTAAAGTAATGCGAAATAACAGCATCTAAGAAGTTGAGTGAATCCTGATCTCTGGGACATGATTTATTATTTTATTGTTAACTGTATCTTCCACCTTTAAGTCGGTCTTCTCCCTCACCCCTTGCCCATCTATATCTAGATAGTATGCGTTAAGTTAAGCGACGTCTAGCCTACACAGAGTGGGGTTAAGGATAAGGAATTGAAAATGGTACATCTAACTCAATCATATCTTCTCTCCCACCTCACTTCTTCACTTCGTTAATTTCACATACGCTTGGTGCGGTCCGTCAAAAATGTGTAAGTTTCTTTTCATTTTTCATTTCAACTTTTGGAAGTAAAGTCTGATGATCCAGAGCCCTTTAAAAGGGTTGTGGTGAAATAACTTATTACATGGAACCTTAAAGTGATCTGTTTTTATTCAAACAAATATATATATATATATATATATATATATATATATATATATATATATATATATATACTTCCGATAATGTTAGTTCTTGCCAATTTCACTCACAAGTCTTGGTTAACACGTGGCATGGATTTCAGATTATAAAACTACTTATAAAAGATTGTGAAAGGCTTATATGTTAAAACGAGTCATTTGTTGGATTGGTGGACCTATTAGATATGTCTATGTTTAGTCACGTCAGCTGAAGGCGTTGTATACTGTGTACTTTCTATGTTGTCTTCATGATTTATTGATTCGTTTTTCTACGGCTCATCAAACATTTTCAGGTTATTTAAAGCCAGAAAATATTTTTAGACTGAAAGATTTTCTTTTTAGCAGCACCATCTAGCGCTGCTCAGCAGAAGTTCTTTGCCTGGCAAATATTATAATCCTAAATATTATTTACGGATTACTGTCGTCTGCCATTCTCCTTAATCTCTTCCACGACTTGAAATCTATTTGTTACATTTTATTTTATAATTACAAGGAAATTAAAACGATAATGGTGAGATAAAAGTGTGATGAATGTAAAACGTTGAGGAATTGTGGAGTTTTACTTACTATTTTCAAATAAAAGAAAGTTGTCAATATTTCTGAGACGAGGTATTCTAACTATGTACACTATTTACATTGTTTGGACTGTTGTATTCATTTTTATTGTCATATTCACGACGTTTTGGCCCAGTGGATAAAAGTTTTAGTTGAAGTAATGCCGTGACTTGACCCAAAGTGTTGTGAGTTCAATCTCTAGCCACAGCAGAGCTGAACAAAACTTAGAGAGTTGAGTTATTAAAGGGAAATAACTGAAAATGAGATATCCAGAAACAGGCATGGCACGTGGAACGAAATCAATCTAGTCCGGTGGGCTAAATAAAGGTTTCAATTCAAAATTCCAAAGTATATCACCTGAAGAGGGCCAGAGCGTATAACAGTCGAAACGTTGTGAATATGACAATAAAGTTGAGGACAACAGTGTGAATCGTGTAAAAGAAAATTATATTTCCTTAACGTCATCAGAAGATTCTAGCATAAATAGGTCGGCATTTAGTATATAGGTAATAATTTTGGGGAGGAAAAGTACATATATATTACATATACACAAACGTATATGTGGATAGACACTGAGTTATAAACACACACAAACAAACATATATATATATATATATATATATATATATATATATATATAGAGGTATTATACGCGCAGGTGTTTCGTGTATCTGTGAATTCTGGGAGATGGTACAGAAAACAAGAAAGAAGGAATTGAAGTGATGCGAATGAAAGAAAAAAATAATTGATAGGAGCAGCAAACGAAAAGCCAAGATGTGATTAGGTATAAATAAATAACAGAAGGAAGAAGGACAGAAAGAATGATTAAGAAATAACGAAGAAAAGAAAGAAAAGAAAGAAAGAATCATTAAGAAAGAACAAAGAAAAGAATGGATGAAAGAAAGAAAGAACGAAAGAAAGAATCGTTGCGAAATGAAGGGAGAAAGAAAGAGTCATTAAGAAAGAACGAATAAAAGGACAAAGGAATGAAAGAAAGGACGAAAGAAAGAATCATTAAGAAATAAAGTGAGAAAGAAAGAAAGAATCATTACGAACGAAGACAAGAAGGAATGAAAGACAGAAAGAAAGAATGAAAGAAAGAATCATTGAGAGAGAACAAAGAAAAGAATAAACAAAGAAAAGAAGAAAAGGTAAATCAAAGAAACAAGCCAAGAAAGAAAAAACGAAACGAAAAAAGAAAACACAATGATTCGAAATAAGAAGAGAATGATAAAAAAGAAAGAAGGAAAAAAAAACGAATGTCTAAAAAAGCATATCTAATAAAAAAAAGGAAGCAAAACGATGCAAAAGGGAGATTGTTTAAAACATGATTACAGAGACAGTAAGAAAGAAAGAAAAAAAAGAAAGAAAGAAAGGAAAAAAGAAAGAAAAATGTAACGTCTGATTAGAAAGAAAAAATGGAGAGTATGGTTGATCGAAAAGTAGTTTAAGAAAAAACAAACAGTTAAAACCACCAGTAAAATTATTCAAGGATGAAAATATAAAACTAAAAATATTAAACGCAGCGAGGGAGGCTGAAAAGGAAAAATAAACAAAAAAACCTCAAAATAAGGAAGGAAAAAAAATGAAACGAGCGACAGATTTTCTTGGCAGGGTCAGTGATGGGGTTATAGTTCTTTTGTGGAAGTGTCTGAGAGAAAGGAAGCGATCCGCAAGTATACGTAATATGCAAATTCAAAAGTCATCTACGGACATCCACATTTATTCGCATGCGCAAACGAAGAGGAACTGATACAAGGCAGCGCTGTAGGCGCTCATCGACTATACGATGACCTAGCTGCTTTTTGCCGTTTCATCATATCTATCGATCAACCTTAGTCTTTTCTGATTCAATTCTTTATAAGCCCGATCTTCTCTTTTATTTTCTCCTCCATACAATATATATATATATATATATATATATATATATATATATATATATATATATATATATATATATAATTATTTTTTAAAAATATGATTCCAACTCGCGACATAAGAGGTCTCATGTTTCAAAACAAGAGCCGAAAACTTCAATATAATTATTTGAATTAAATTGAGTTAAAGTAAGCTCTGTTCCATCTTCAAGCGAAATTTTTTTTTTTGAATAACGTATTTCTGAAATTTACGTGTTTTAATAATTGAAATCAAAATTTCCATGGTAACAGCTAGGGCGAATTGTTTAAATTGGGTAGGCGTGTGTTGGGTGTTAATAATAAGTATCAGTATAGAGTTACTTTCATAGATGTCAAGTCAGGGTAAGGTGGGGGTGTCTAAATTTGAAACGGAAGATGTTTTAGCCTAGTCTGGTTTATGTGTCTATGTTGATTCTTATATATATATATATATATATATATATATATATATATATATATATATATATATATAGAAGGAAATATTTTCGAAATGAATAAATTCTTTCATGGAACGAGTCTCTTCAGAGATCATGGCTCTCCACAGCTTCCTATTCTTTGTAAATCTATGCGATTTTTAATCCCTTATAATCTCTCCCAGTTCCTGTTCTGTTGTTTATTTACACAAGCGCGTTAGGCAGGTTATTTGTTTATTCTCTTTGTCTTTCATGTCTCCAGTATGTCCCGTGAGTGTTGAATTCTCCAAGTCACCTTTCCCCATTATTTGTCCCCAAAATTTAAACCATAACTAATTTATTTTAAGTACAAGTGTGATATAACTTTGTGATAACTGTAAAGAAGTACGACTTACGGCTATATCACGTTGAAACACCGGTTCTTGTACGATCACTGAAGTTAAGCAACGTCAAGTCTAGTCAGTCCCTGGATGGGGGACCGCTTGGGGATATCGGATGCTCTGAGCTTGGATGTGGTCTAAAAACCGCAGTAATGCACCATTAGCGGTGTTGTGAGTTCAATTCTTCTTAGCTGTTCCTGCCATTTTAATTATATTCTACACTAAAATAAGCCTGACAAAGCTCTAAGATTAGGACACTGATCTCTTTTAATCACACGCCCCGTTAAATCCGAGTATCAATCAAATTTTAAATGATTTACGTTTTGGTCAAACAGTTTTCTGGTCAGTTAAGAGATTCAATAGTTCTTGAGAATTCTGTCATATCACAAAATTATACAACAATTGTTGGATTACGCCCCAAATTCGCTCTTTTTATTAAGTAAAAACTTGAGGACATTTTTGTTAATTTTTTGAAATTAACGTCATTTAAGTACATATCGATCTCTTTTCCTTCCATTTATGGGTTGAATAGCAGGACAGAATAGACTCTATAGCTTTAATTAACAATCAGTCTACCGCTAAAAGAAATGGCAACCTACTGCAGGAATGTCTTCTGCCTAGTCGGACATAGATCACCCAAGCATATATCACCCATGACACTTAACTGACTGTCGTACATATATATCACTTTGTTCTATTATCCTCTCCAATCCTGGAAGAAATTTCCTCATTCCATCCGAGAAAAATCCAGATCTCTCTCTGGGTGCTTTATGCAGCCATCGAAAAAACTGAAATTTATTTTCATTTAAACGATTCGGTTTAGACCAGAATGAAAGTGACTATATTATGGGAACTTACCCATAATAATAATAATGGACTATTCCTGATATTATAAATACTGCGCCTCTCAAGAGGTATGAGGATGTTGTAAGACGAGGTGAGATAATTGAGAGCATATTGTAAGGACATTGGAATTGTGATACTTGTCGAGACAACATAGTTCACTCTAACCAAATCTGATAGTCATTACTAATACTTCTACTTCTTTGTATTATATTTCTGTTGTAATATATCTTTGTATTCCATACCTGTGTTCGTGTTATTCTTTCATTGGTTCTAACCTTGGACCATCACCGTGGTACAAGGAACTTGGACCATAACACTATATCTAGTAAGTACGATGGAGGAGTGAACTTTTTTAAACATGTTAACAGTTTTTGTGAGGTTAGTAACAAAATTTGATAGTGCATATCATCACTTTGTCTAAATGTCGATATTAATTATTTATATCAATCTATTGGTCCACTGGAAGGAGCTTCCTGTCTCACCGTATAATCAGCATCAATTCTTTTCGATGAAGATCTATCTTTGGCAAAGTTAGTAGTGATGAAATATTACATCTCCAAGGTTTTGAATTCAAAGTTTTCGTTCTATACTGGATGCTAGCCAAGGCTTAGAAACCTCAGTCTAACTTGACATGTCTCTTCCGAACGCAAGTGATCACGGATTCCTTTTAATTATTTTATTCTTAATGTAAGAATTGCCATAACTGTTTAGGAAAGATAGAGGTGTATATTTTATGAGAATATATAGTATATAGTTGACCCTGATTTTTAAAACGTTCAAATTGAGGAATTTCCGCTCAGAAGTTTTCCAAAAAACTATCAGTTATCAGCAACAATCTCACAGATTTGAAATTCATCTTTATCAATGGAAAACGAAGATAATATCACGAAGATATGCAATATTGAGAACGGTTGATCATATACTTGAAGTGGTTAATCTGATAGTGAATGGGTGGGAATCCTCTGGCGGGTATGTTCTCCAAAGTAAAAATTCCTGGGGAGCTGTCTGAGTGGAACTTCCTGTTTACCAACGGAATATTGAGGGAATGAGGATGCCGACTTTGCGTATGTGACACGGCGGATCCTAGCTGTCTAGCTGTGAAGGTCTGAACTGATGGAACTCAGTGATACAATGGAATATGCGTACACCTGTGTTCCCTCACTGGAATATGACTGGCTGGTGTCCGTCATAAATACCGACGGACATGTAGGTACGACAGAGTCAGAGCCTTAGTCTGAGAGCTAAGTCTATAAAGACGCCCAGTGGACTACGCCATTGATCTACACTTCTTACCTGCGACTACGACGAGTACCAGCCGATTACTGCTACCGTATTCTACTTGGTTATAGTAATCAAAAACCACTTAGCTACTTCGATTAAATATATCCCTTTCCTGGACATATCACTCAGTAACGTGCCTCATTTGAACATTTGTAATGAAAATAGCGTTCGAGTCGGGATAGGATAGCAATTTTTGTCTGAGAGAAAGAGAAAGATGGCTGTAGGCTGAAAAAAAAATCATCGCTTCCAAGTTTGCGCAACCGATTTTTGAACTCTGTCAAAGCATGAACAGTTTCTCAAAGTAATCAATACTGATGTTGAACAATGATTATTAATATTACAAACTAAATCATAGGCTTTAAAACACTTAGCTTACTTTCGTTTGGCACAAGGCAAGATCTATTAGAACCTGAGAAGATCGACCTCAGTACCAATACGCTAGCTAAACAGCATTCTAACCCTGACAATACGAAGTGGTAACCATCTAGACAGATAAAAAAATAAACAGATATTGACAGAGATGCAATGTTTCTTTACTGAAACACCGCTTTACAATCCCTCAAAATTGAATACTTTTCACTCGAAGGAACAATTCAGGTACATTGTTACATATATGGATATAGTCTCGTTTTTGAATTCTATGTCCAATGCTTTCTGTAAGCTTCGACTATCAAACTCATACATATTAATGAGTTCTTTTTTTTAATGTTTTGTCTTTTTTTTATTTCACGATATATGCAAATTAGACCAATTAAATAAGTGGCTGTTGCTGGCGTGCCTTAAAGGCATATAATGTGACGAGCAAGCACGCGCGTAGAGACATGGCTAAAAAAAGAAGAGGTGTCTGTCATGGGATACTTAAAAGCATAATCATGCGAATTATTCAACTGCTTAGCAAGGGCGGGCTCCTCATCTAAAGGTGGATGTTTAAATGTGACCAATGATATAACATCTATCGATGCATCGCAATAGTTTCCAAATTATCTCAATATTTTCGCAATGAAATTGTTATTACCCAGATTTTAAAAATATACACGCAAGATATATCGGCAAGATATATTGTGAGGTAGATATTAACGCTTTGATATTCTATAAACTTAATCAAATTTTCAACCACTGACTTTCATAACTTTGCTAATGGCTTGACTTTGGCATTACTCAAAGATGTCCTTTGTCTGTTTCATTCTCATGTATATAGCTTTTCATGGTTGAATACATATTTTCTATTCAATAGGTTGGGGAGCATTCCGTTTTTTGGCAAAATGGGTCATAATCAGCTTTATAAAGGTGAAGGAATATTGTCTTACATTGATAACGTGTTTAGCTTAAAGGTTCTTGGTTCTGACTTTTACTACCCCCAAAAACATCTTGTACAAGAAATGAGAACAATTGTCGATCATTATCATTATATTTTCCTCAAATCTGAAGGGAACGACTACAGGGTACCCCACAAAAACCCCCCAAAAAACAGGAAACTTGGTACTTTAATTGTTGGCATTTTTGTTATAGTTATTTGAAACAAATTCAAAGGCTAGAAATTAAGTAGCTTAAAACAGAACAAAAACACAAATGTTAGATGTGGTGCTCACACTAAAGAACTCTGTCAAAATTTCTTGACATTTTTTTAGTCTCCAAGTTGTATGTTCTTTCTTAAAGAGAACAATCATCTCGCGTTGAAAATTTGATAACTGATACATCCTGGAACAACAAATGTTTAAAAAAAAATTATATGTTAGATAATTTTTCTAGTTGATCATGTAGTAAAATATATAGTTAAATATTTTATATGTTTTTTTTTATCATATAGTAAATCTAAATTTTGTGTGTGTGTGTGTGTGTGTATGTGGGGGAGCATCCTGTATGTCACTGTCAACGATATTAGCCCATATATTTATGTTTCATACTTCCTACTACTTTTTAAGGTTTTCTTGGTTAACCCTTTCTATAAATAGTCTGACCATCAGGTTCATCCAATGTAGTTCTGTATTCATCACTAAAAAATTACTGTTATATCTCTATCTATAAAAGGCAGGATGTGTATGTGTATGTGTGTGTGTGTGTGTGTGTGTGTAACGAATGCACGGCCGCAATTTTCGACGGATTTGCACCAAAATTTACATGCACATGCTCCAAGTTAATGGAAAGGCCAAGACCAACTTTGCATTTCCCAACTCCCATCGATAATGGAAATAATCGACTTTTTCATGCTTCTATGCCAGTTTTCATGTAGTTTGCGGCCATTTTCTACTGGCCAGAGTGAGAGCATATAGCTGGCTGTCACGAATAGGCAGGAAGATTCTATTGGCCAACAATGAGAGCCAACAGCTGACTGACACGAATGTTAACTAGCATGCAAAAGAAATCGATAGCTGCATTCGTCACAAGTGGGAAAAACTTAAATCTGCATGGCACTTTACTCCAATTGGCTCATTCGCTTGTTTAAACTCAACGTTGATTCTGATTCCGCAGAACTGGGTTTGGTGTGAAAAAAAGTATTTGTTGTTAACATTCTTTTTCATTCGGTTTTCCAGTTATGAGTCCTTTTTTAAATCTGATCATTTTGTGTTCATTTTGTTTAGTTCTTTTTCGTAACAGATGTAATGTTTAGCATAGAGCTTAGAAAAATTCGCAGTGTGAGATAGGCAAGAAGTAAGGCATGTAGCAACATCAGCACGGCAAAGGACACTCCTTTAAAAAAAAGCAAGGAAGGGCAAAAATATTTTAAGTCAAGTGATAGCGATTGCTGTATGAGTCGTACGATTTTGAATCAAGCACGGGCAACGCCAGGCCATGCTGCTAGTATATATATATATATATATATATATATATATATATATATATATATATATATAAAAAATATTCGCTTTCGATTTTCTCTCCTTTTTATGTATTTTTTTTCCGTATGTTGCGATGAAATTTGTTTACACTCTCTTTCTCTCTTACAAATTTTTTTGTCTTTTCCTCTATTAAAAAGTCTGTTGCATTCACAAC